CTGTATTGTAGGAGAGCAGAATTATCCAGGGGCATTTGCAATGCCCGCCACCACAACTAACAAGGGAGGTCGTTCAGGGCGTGGTGAGCTTTTTCAAAATGGTCTTGTGCATATTGTAGGGGCACATACGAGGACCAGAAAACTGAGGTTCATTTTCGCTGCGCGCTTCTACGAATAAAAAAAAACGTAAAAAATAGGTCGATGGTTCGGATCCCACCGAGGACAAAATTTTGCTTTTCTACAATTTTTCATTTTTTGGATCCATGTTTGTCTAAATACTTGGTCCTAACAAAAACATTCACCACAAACTAAACGATCCTACTTTTATGGAGCAATACTGCTTTTTCTTTCGAATTCGTTAGTATGCACAGACTCAGCTCTTCGGCGCTATACCGGTGTCAGATGGCACTGGAACCGAAAATAAAGTCTAGAATCGTGATCAGGACTGTCGATTACCCCTAGGAGCAAGTTTTGAGCGAAAAAAATTTTTTTGACTTTTTCGGGTTGTAGGCTGACCATTTGATCGGCAGTGTGAGCGGAGTCTCACATCTTCGTAACAGCGATGACGTATCGTTGACGCTACGGACCCTGGACAACCCAGTAAGCAAACACAGGAAGGTCAAAACAGTTGTTTTGACCGAAAATTCGTTTTTAGTGGGAATCAGTGGCCCTGATCACAAATAGAACACCTATTCTTGGCGTCCACGCAATTTGGCTCCAGAATAGCGTTGAACGTCCCTATATGGGTGTACATAACGAATTCAGTGGGATGAAGATGTGGCTCCAAATTGTCTATGATTGAAACCACATCAGAAGTTACTAAATTCGCAATCAGATCCACTGTCTAGGGGATCAACGTCCAGCAACAATCTTGTTCAAAGGTGCGTGAAAATCGGAGTAGTTGAATAGCACTGTCTCATGAGGTATAGCTACTCAGAATTTGCCCACAAATGGCAAATATCCGAGTTGTATTCATGCGCAGACACAGATGGGAGCGAGAACAGCTGAATCTAAAAAATGCAAAAATCCGCGACGGAAGGGGAGCCGAACGCATCTAACCCCGCACCCTCACTGTCCGATTGCGAAACCTCCACTTTTATCCTCCACTAGGCCATCCGTTGCTCGAGTCTGCGCAGTGCTCTTATCTCTGATGAAACCATTGCAAGAAGCCGTTCACCCTTGAGCACGTGACCCAAGTTGGGAGCTCACTTGCGGCGATTTTTCGCTTCGATTCCAGTAGTCCCTTTATAAGGGCCCCCCACTCAGCAACTGGTCAAAGTTGCAAGTGACCTACACCGTATAGAGGCCGAACGAAGCAGATTCGAAGATTTTTTCAACGGAGATCGGTTTTTTACACTTTTGGAAACGGGCCGCGCGCAGCGAAAACGAAAGCACACTTTATCAGTCCTCGCAACCCCCTACACATATGCCAAAACCGTTTTTGAAAGCGCACGACACGCCCTGAAGACCTCCGCTTGTAAGAACAACCTTGACCGTCTTCACGCTCCAAAAAGAGTGTTCTTCCAAGCAGGTTCAGCTTAAAGGCACAGTTCGCGACCGCAAATTGCGGGAAACGGAACTCAAATAGGCACAAAAAAGTGCTAAGTATCTGATTAGCGGAGAAAAGCAGCAGAAAAAGCAGTCCGAAATGTTATAGAGAAAGATAACATAGTGACTAGCTAGTAGCTAGCAGCCGGTGAGGGTCATGGGCCTAAGGGGGCCTAATTAGTCAGCTTCTAGCGGAGTTCTTGCCGTTTTTCACATTTTGAAAGTAGCGCAGCCTCAAAAATCGCCTTCCGGATCGTCCGACACATTTGAGAGGTCATAGCCTTATTTTATCGCGGAATGTGCCTTAAGAGAGCGCAGACGAACAAAGCGCGCACAGCTTAGTCTCCCCGCAGAGTTGCCTCCCACCTCGGCAGCTACATGTCTGCTCGTACCTGTCGACGCCTGGGACGTCAGGTCTCAGGTGGGGTTTGTGCCCGCCGTGTTCCAAAACGTTGGTCGCTTGCCCTTCGAACAATTGGTGGATAACCGACTGACGCCGAGCCAGACCGAGCCCTTGGCACGCCCCAGCATCCGCAACGAACAAGGCTGCACCTTGGCGCTATGTTCTAGGCCTTTTAGGTAATGGGTTTTCAAACTCACAAGCGGTTGTGCACAGGAGCTTCCATGGCAAAAATCTGCAAATTTTAACCTATTTTAACAGTGAACACTGGCATCTGAACTTTGATTCGTCTAAACACGAGATTTTAGAATACCGCCGTAAGTACATGAAGGCACTCAGATATTTAAAGACAGCGCCCGCGATGGACTTTGGCAGGTCTCAGGGGTCAAATTTGTTAGAACAGGTGGCCAATGAAGCACTAATCAAAAAAGTAGGAAAAAGGTGTGGAAGAGCGTGAAATAAGACCCTACGAAATTTAAGGCATGTGGACGAGTTTCGCAGACCTTTGTGAGTTCTCCAATACACGTCGCCGGCTCGGAACTCCAGAAACTTAGCGTTTATCAATGCCAGCAAGCACTGATAACTGTTAACCAGTCGGGGCGGGATTAACAGGGAAGGAGGCGTCAGCTCAGCCTTGTTGACTCCGCCCTCGTCAATCAATACATTTCGAGCCGCAAGAGTGGGATATCCGCTATGGTTGCGAACTCCGCGTTCGTTTTCATTGGAGGGTTTTTCACTTTGGTTGATCGCGACGCTGCCTTTAATTGCATATACACCTACTGTAGGCTGACCATAAATTCATCACCTGAAGGCAGAACCTTGGAATCATATCATTATAAGAACTACAGCCCTGTCTTCCCGACGTCTATAACAACCAGCACGAAGTTCAAGGGCCGGAGCTACCCTATCTTCCATTACTGTGAAAAAACCGCGTCGCAACCGCGCGCATCCCATGCTGGATGTTGTACACGTTCTTCGTCCTCATGTTTTGAACTTAGCAGACATTCAGCTCAGAACTGATAGTCTTTCAGAAGGTGATCCATGCACAACAAGCACTTGAAGAAGTTGAAACTTGAGATATAGTGAACTTATTAGTCCAATATGATCACCTCCGGTTCTTTGCTGCTTCTAGAGGAGGCGGATGAGGTAAACTGCGAAAGTCTTGGGGATGAAATAGGGCTGTCCATTGATGTAAAAGAGGGACCGGATTCATACACTATTTCAATACCATCGCTACCGTTAACAAATCTTTCTGGTCGGGGAGGGTCTCGATTAAGTGAACGTCCTTGATCAGGATGAGAGTTAAACGAGGGGGTCACATTGATTGCTTGAACGGGTACGAGCCGCTTGG